AGATTTCTTTTGATAAGTTTGTTGGTGGCGTAGTTTTCTTTTGCTTAGTAAGGTTTGTTTATTTTTTTGGTAATAATCCCTTTGATAGTTGGGGCTATGGGTGCCGTGTTTTGATTTATTTGTGCTTAGGGTAGAGTTTGAAAGCTTCATGATTAAATTGATAAATGATTAAATACTCAATTAGCCAGCCAGTCAGTTCATGAAGCTTTCAAAATCCGACTGACTGGACAGGCTAATTCAGTAGGTAATTATATAATAGTATTTTAAATTATTTTTAATCATCAAGGTAAAGCACATTAACAAAACCAACAAACTCAGGAGCTTCGTCTTTGAGAAAGATAATTATCTTATAAGTTCGTTCATTTCTTTTGTCTATAACTGGCTCATAAGCATAATATTTTCAATTTTCTCAATTAGGGTGCGTTCCTCTACTTTCTAACTCTTTTTTATCTAATTGCTGAACCATATCACAAATTACTTGATTGTTGAATAATCTATTTTTATCAGGCTTAATTCCTCTTTTTCTACAACCTCTTAAATACTCAACATTCCGTTTCTTATAATGGTATCAAATTTTTAATTTGGTTCTTTTTGTTTTTTCAATTAAAGCATTGATTCGGTAAATGCGACTTATATTATCAGGCTCTTGCGGAGGTTTTTTGTTTCGCTGGTCGTGTAAGTTCACCGTCATAGTCAATATTTACTTTCAAGTGTCCGTTTAGTTTTCCGGTATAAGATACTAATTCTTCCAAATTAAAATTACCAATTCTCCCAAATAAAATATCATCTGTTTTCTCTTGATTAATGCCTATTTTTTTGCCTAGTTCTTTTGGGGTAAGTTTATTTACTCTTTTATAACGAGATATTGATTGACAGATTTCATACTTGGTCTTATCCAATTCACTAGCATTTGGCGTTAAACCAATGTTTATTTCTTTACAGTTGGGGTCAGCAAAGTATTTGGTAATTCTTTCTAATTCTTCCTCCGGAGGAAAAGAAAATTTCTTATCAGTGTTTTTTGCTCTGCTAGTTTTTACTTCCATATTTCCGTTTAACTTCTGCTGATGTTTTTTATTCTTCCACAATCCTTTCATAATTGGCATGATTAATCTATTTTTACCCTCTCCTCTCATCATAACACTCCAACGCCCGTTCCAATACTTCCACCAACTTCAACTCTTCCTCATAAGCAATCCTTTTCAACTTCTCCAAAAACTCTTTTCTAACCCTAGTTCCTAATTGGTAAGTCCTCCCAGTTTTATTCATGCTCCTTCCGTCTATTTTGGAGTATTCTGGTTCTTTTACACATCCACTACAATAAGTATATTCTTCCTCAAATTCTTCTCAATCCTGAGCTACTGAGTAAGCTGTTTCATGCCGAAATTCCCCACCACACTTGTCACAAATGAAGTCTACTTTAAGAAAACTATTTAATTGGTTCATATACCTATTTTATAGCTTCTATCTAGCATCTATATTTTGCCTCAATATCCCCTCTTCCCATACTCCCAAAACAAATATTTCTTCCTCCTTGGCATGCTCTCAATCAAATTCCCCAAGCAAAACCCACACAACACTTTTTCCCTAGTATTCAGCCCTCAAAATCGCGGGTCATTCCGATTCTTAATTACTCCATGATGTCCCGCACTACTAATCATCTTTTCACACCTTTCACACCTAGTTCACCCATTCCCATCAGAACCAATATGCTTCACCCTTGGCTTTTCTGTTTCTTGACAATAACACTTAATCACTCCTAACCGATAATCATTAAGAGTTTGTTGGGACGAACTAATTAGCAACTCATCTCTCTCCAACTCTGCTAATAGTTTCCGATAACAAACACAGCAATATTGCTTCTTTGCCTCTAACAGTCCACAACTTTTTCTCTGTTGACAACTAACACAATAATCCTTTGCTTTGAATAATTGCTTTTGCTTAGGCTTTCTCTTTAAGTTTCAAGTCATATTTACTTGCTCTATACTTTTTACTTTTACTAGTGAACTAAATAATTGTTGATATAAAAGCCTTTACTTTTCCCCTTTCTAAAAAAAAGTAGCAAAAAAAAATTGATTTTGAGACCTTTCCTACCTCTTTAATCTTTACCCCATTTTTTTAATCTTTCTTTTTACCTCTTTTCCTTGACAGTTTTATTTATTAATCTCTTTAACTTTTCTATCTCTCGTATAAAATTACTTCTTTAATATTTTTGTTTAGAAATATAATATATTTTAGTGTTTTCTCCTCCCCTATTGCGTAATAAGTTTTTTTTGCTACTTTTTTTTAGAAAACTAATAATTCAATTGGAGAACTGGATTATTAGGGGGAGCAATTAGCTCCCCTTATTCTAACTAACAAAGTCTAGACAGAAGGAATTCAAAGCCAACCTCCGTTAACTCATGCTCATCTACCCTGCGGAAGTTGAGTAGACTGCTCTTGAACCGCTTGATACCGAGAATCATCTTGCTCTAAATTTGTAGAAGAACCAAAATTTTCCACTCCTTCCATCAAAACAGCACTTTCTTCCTCCATCCTTTGTCAGAGCTGAAAATTTTCATGTGGTGTAGAAACACTCTCTTTAATTTGCTCTAAAACTTTCTTTCCTAAATCC